AGTTAAATATAAAGCACCTTACTCTTCAGTTAGATTTAAATGTGTTAGCTATAAATGCTGCAGCACAATCAAATACTTTAAAATAAATGCAGACCTATTAACATTTTACTTCAATCTGTGTCTTACGATTTTGTTCAAGATAATGTAAGAGTAGTATTCTAAATTGTTAGAAATTATTTTTATTGTTATTTAAGGGCGCCTACGTTTTTTCTCTATTATGATGCAAAGCAAGTTCGTCACCTAAGTCTTTTGTTTGTCAGCACCTGCGCTGACATCTTCATTAGCTATTGCTATGTTGACGATCAGTTACTTGTATATATAAGTGTGAGTGTGTGCGTGTGATGGAAATTGGTTTTTAATAACCCAGCCACGGTCTTTTAATTAATTGGATGAAATAGTGGGTAAAAGTGGATCGATCTTTTGTCAAATTTAAAGATCTTCAACGTTCGCCGCAGTAGCAATTTAAGCAATTTAAATGCAAATCTTGATCTGGAGTGCTTTGCATCGTTAAGTTGGCGGCAAAGAGTAAAAATTCAATTTAAGCACTATTCTTTTGTTAAATGCAGTTATTAGATTTGACAGTTTACAGTTGGGCGATAGCTTTGAAGAGTTGCCGCCGGCTACGGCTGCGGCTGCGGCAACGGCTACGGCTACGGCTACTAAATTACTTACCGCTCGAGGAATTATCAGCAGCTTGTTTGGTTTTCTGGTGCAGCGGCGGCTGAAGATGAAAGGCTGTGCAGCCATTTCAATTAGCATTTTGATGGCACTTACAAATGAGCGGCTAGAACGAAAATCGCGGCCATTTGATAGGCAATTGATAGCACTTCATAAAGCAGCCGATCGTTTGTAGACCGAAATTGACATACAAGGCGGGCACATTATTAAATCATTCGGAATTTATGAAATGTCACGCGATTTTCGAAAGACTCGACTCGATTCGACCAATCGGACTGGCCTCCAGCATCGCCAGCGACGCCAGCTGTGACAATCTTATGGTAATTAAGTTTTTGCAATTTTTTTGCTTAAAAATCGTTCGGCATTAATCAATGCTCAATTTGCCGACAGGGATGAAGTTTTTTTTAACAAATGGTTGCATGCCGGCCAGTCAAAGCAACCAAAATGAAAAAGCGCCACACTCGGCATTCGACATTCGACATTCGACATTCGACATTCGGCATGCGACATTCGACAACCGGCGACAAGACGTCAACTTGTTTGGCAATAAAATTGTAAGCATTTATCTTGTAAGCCTTTTGTGTTGCATTGTCGCTTTTTGTGTTGTGTTGCTTTTCTTATGCGTAGACAAAAATAGGCTTTTCTTTTTTGCATTACAAAAGTATTGAGTTACCAAACGATTTGTCAACGTTTAGACCCAGCCGTAGTCGCAGCCCCAGCCCCAGCCTCAGCCTCAGCCTCAGCCGGCAAACAAGTTAAGGCCAGGCATTTTGTTAGCTCGTAAAGATTTGTTGACACTTGCGTGTTGATGTTTTTCCGTTGGTGTTGTTGCTTTTGGCCATGCAAATCAAACGACGAGGACCACCTGCAAAGCTCCACTAGAGTTGTGTTCAAAAGACAAGTTACAGCAAATGTTCACACATTGATGTTCTGTTATCATGAATGAATACTTCATTCATTAATATACTTGTGGGAGTTGTGCAACTATTGCTTAGGATTGTCATCGATTTTGATTGTGTGTTTGAACAGCAAATTTTCACTACACGTATGAAAAATATTCAATGATATCAAAATTTATAAAATAAAAAATTACTAAAATTAGTATCAGCCACTTTATCGAAGCTCGTTCTCATATTGATATGTTTCGCTGCCATTGGAATATCCTGAAAACAATTGAAGGCTCCTTTCGATTTTAATATATATAAACCAGATTAGATATGCTTTCTATAAATAATTTAAATTGTATAGTAAACTTTTCTTATTTTTATTTATTTTATTTGAATTCTTTATTAAAATATTTTATAATTTATGCCTAAATTTGAAATCAAGTACATTTCTTATAATTGATTATACATTTAGAGATAAAATTTAACTTTAACCTTTGAAATAAAATCTTTGAAATCACACGTTTTGAGTGAATGTCCAATGAAGGCGACATTAGGGCTTGGCAAACAAACTAATTACATGAAAATAATGTGAATATCCGAATGACTTCTATGAGAACAAATGTAATGTAATTAAAGAAGCGGAAACCAAAAATAACTGTCAGTAATCTTTTGTCTTGAAGGTGTAAGTGGCTGGCTTTCATACTTTCTTATTTTTTATTATTATATTTTATTATTTTTATATTTAGTTTGTCGAGCAGTTCAGTTCTTCAGAACTCATAGTTTTTAGTGCTGTTGTTTCATCGCTTACTAATTATATTTGGGTTTATTGTTCATTGGCTCAGCTGAGCATTCGTACCAGCGAGACATATAGAAAAAAATTAATATCAAACGGGCCGCAGCGTCTTATCGCACTATTTATGAACCAGGGCGATCGAATTTATCGAACACCGTGCACCACTTAAAGCGATGCTCTGAACCGAGCTATGCTTAATTTCATTATGCTAAAATGAATTAATTTAATTTGATTTTGGTTTTCTGTTAACATCATCCGCAAATCCACATAGTTATGGCTCTGAACGAATTGGAAGTTCAAAGCTTGGAAGCTCGTTCGAATTTCACCTCGAAATTCGTTACACATTTTGGAGCCCATGACGAATTGGCGACCCTTTTTGTTCATGTTAAATAAAATTAATAGAGAAATTAGGCAACAGTTAGGCACAGATGAGGCCACTCTTATTAGTTTCGTGCTTTAAGTGGCGCAGTTTAGCTGCTACCCGTTCTGCCTGCAATTAGTCAATTAATGAAAAGGCCATAAATATGCGGCTAACATTTATCGATAACCGGGAAGGTTTCCTCTCGCCTTCTTGCTTGCTTTGGCCAAATGGAAATGGCAACTGGCAACGGCCAACTGGCAACTGGCAACGGGTCTCTCACTCACTTTGGCTGCTGACCATAAATTAATAGTCCATTATTTCTAAATTTTGTCCACTTCAAACTGTCGTCGCGCAGTCCAGCGACTGCTGCTACACCGTGGTCTGTTTCAGCCGCTTCGTATTTGCATTTTAATCTCTCGGCCACAAATTAGTTCCCTGCTTGACTTTGTGTTGACTTGTCAGTGCGGTCAATAAAACTTAGTCAGTGCCGTGGACGTTGTCACGTAATAGAAAACGAAAGCAACAGGAGTGCTTTTTTTTGGTAAATATGTAAATCATTTTGCGCTTGAACACATTTCAAAAATTGCCTAAATTTCTCTATATCTGCTCGCTGAAAAACCAACAGCTGTAACCAACAGTTGCACGACAAGTGGCTCCACATCGTTTATAGCTAAGGAATCAGATATATATAATTTCAAGCTGAGGCCATTAATAGACATAAAAGATAATTCAGGCTTAAACTTATACTTAATTTAAAGTGAATAAAAGTAATTATCTGACTGCCATTGAATTAACTTCAGTTACTCAGTTGGATTGACTTTTATAATATTTGTTCAATTCTCTCCATCTCGCTGTTCATAGCTTAATGGTAAGTATATATTGTATATGCAACTATTTTAAATTAGATTTTTACAGTTTATTAATATTTATATTAATTTTTTATTTTATTTTTATATTTTTAATTGAATTTTCGTGCATTTAACATTTTCACAGTTTAAATATATTTCAAATTTCTTTAATTCTTGCCCTAATTATGCAGCTTAAAAAACTTGTTAGCAGCCCAACTATTTCATTAAAAGTTGTAATAGTATTTGCTCAATTAATATTTCAATTTATAGAATCAGTTTCGTTAATACTGTCTGGTAACGGAAGCTAAAAGTTATCAAATTTAGTAACAAATAATTAGACTATTCGGAAGGCGGTAATCTGAATCCTGACTTTCGACTGTCTATAAAGAGACATGATTTTTTAATAAATAAAAGTACATCAAAAATAAATGTTTATATGTAAAAACTCACATTTGTATTATGCATCATTATATTATATTAATAATTCATGTTTCAGCCAGTAATCCAAAAGTTTGGTAAAATTTTCCCTTTCTTAAATTCATTTGAATTATGTATGGCCGTTTTCTTTTAAAGATATATTTGCATATATTAGAGTAATTTAATACAATATCTGAAACAATATCTGTTCAGTTTAATTACTATCGTATGGTAGCTCAGTTTGGCTTGCAGCTAATTTGCAATGGCAGCTATAGCTCGGCGCTGTCTATTTCACATTCTCCATATATGAGCGCAGTATTGACTCAGTGGCAGCCTTACCCAACCCTGGAGTAAGTACGTGGCCAAGTGGTTGGCAGTCAAGCAAAGTTTGCTTTGGGCACTTTGCGAACTCATTTTCCGACTCAATCAAATCAAATAATTTATGCCTTGCAAAACGAACTGGCCAAGTGAGTGGAGCTGGTGAGGTCATGGCGTGCGCTGCCATTGCCAATGTGAGAGAGCGAACTGGGCCCAAAGCACAGTTAACTCTTTTAGTCTGGCCATAAAATGTGTTGATTTTTCCATTTGGCAAGCTGCTGCGACGGGCCCTGAAGCGCTGCAATGAGCATAAATAAGAGAATTCGAGAGACTCCGAGAAAATTGCTAGCTAAGTATAGAGAGAGCAGAATCCAGCAAAGCCTTTGTTGCTTTTCATTTAAGCCAATGCGTGTGCCTTCACTGCAAAATACAAAATTCAAGGCTTACATATATAATTGTAGAGTTCTAACTAAATTAAGTCCACATTGGCCAAAGTCGAGGCCATCTGTAAGAGAGGACGAGCCATGATTGTGCAAGTGTCAGCTAGAATCAGGGGAAGGATCAATAAAAACTCTTGGTGGCTTTTCACTTTTGCCAATGCTCTTTTATTACCATAATATATACAACAAACACACAATACAAAATACAATGCTTATATAGAGATATATGTACAATTATTTTTTGATCTCCGACTAAGTCTAGACAAAGTCAAATTCGAAGCCGTCCTCCTGGTACTCGTATTCGCTGCCATCGCAGGTCACCTGCACATGCTTGTTGCACCTCCAGTAGTGATATTCGTTGGGATGCATTTGCGTCCACATCACCTCGCTAAACACCTGCAACGGCTTGGCATTGCGCTCCATGCTGCGTATGCGTTCCAGCTTCTGCAACTTGTCCCCGTTGCTGTGGTAGCCGTTGAGGGCGAGCTGTGTGAGCTGGGTACACTCGGCCACTAGCTCGAGCAGCTGATGCTCCCTCACAATCTCCCAGCCACTGAAGCTGAGCACCTTCATCTGAGAGCAGGGTATATGACGGTTATCCAAGAAGAATACATCATGGTACCAGTTCTCGCAGACCAGAGCGCGCAGCTTGGGGAGCTCTAAGAGCAGGCTGTGCTGCCAGCGAGCAGGCAACTGCACCACTTCATTATTGAGAGCAATGCGAGTGATTGACTCACTTTTGGCCACAATAATTTGTTGGAATATGGTTTCCTGATCGGCATGCAGTTGGCGGGAATCGTCGAAGCGCACGGCCAACTTACGTAGCTTGGGCAGCTGGAGCACCTCGGAGAGCATGCACTCCACGCTGCTCAGGTTGATCTTCAGCACCTCCAAATTGGGCAGCTTGATGTCGTGCAGCCGCACACTGCTGTCAAAGGAGTCAGTGATGTCCAGTACCCTCAACTGTGTCATGCTCAAGCAGATTTCCTGTATCCATCGGCTGTCCAGCGGCACCGAATGGTACATGGACTTGAACACCAGCTGCTCCAGTTTCCTAAAGCCTCGCATATACAAGCCCGACAGATTCATGCAGCTGGTCAAGCGCTTCAAATTGGGCAGCATTGCAGTTAGATCACGTATGTCCTCATCGACCATGGTATTTGGATTTCCACCCAATACGCAGCTCTCCACGCTGGGAAATCTCAAAATATTGATATCGCACAGATGTCTAATGTAATCGTAGAATTCGGCAAAGGAGCCCACGCCGTCCTCGTGCACGTGCAACTCGGTGAAACGACTGGCCATGTTCTCCATGAAGAACACATAATCCTCGATGTCTAGCAACCCCAGGAACGGAGTATTCGGTCCAACGATGCGAAAGTGCCAGCGTTTCTGCCATATGCGCAAAACCTGTGGCAGAAACTGTGGATATGCACGTGCCATTCGCACCTGATCGCTGATGTAGTCGATTCGCTCGAAGATCTGCTCAAAGAAGATCTCGTGCAAGTTGTCAATATAATTCGGAGGCAATGGCTCCGGCAGTGGTACACGCTGTGCCTCCAAGGCGTGCTTGTAGAACTTCGTGTTTTGCAGCATGTTTCAATATTCAATATTTGATTTAAGAATAGTCTTTTAAGCTTTCGTTTAATATCGCTTAGATAATGACAGGTTAAAAGCGGATCTTTAATTTTATTATAAATTTTAAAGGTTACTTCTTCGACTTATGGCCCTTTCTTATCTCAGTTTTAGCTGATCTTTAAACGAAGAATAATTTCTTAAAGATTGTTCTCGATGTTGCTTGCTTCGCAATAGAAAGCGGAATGTGCCGAAACTGCTATGTGACTAATGCTTATATTTGAGCACAGGTAGTCCCTTTGGCCCGCCCAACAGGTAGTCCTGGCGCTTAACGAACTTTGACTAATCCTTACAGCAGCTGCGCGACAACTGCATAAAGTTCGTTTTTGGGATTGCGATTTGGGCCGCGATGCAGGTACGGCCTTTTGGCCTGTTAGGATCGTGCCTAGAACATAAATTGCAGTACAGTGTCTGCAATTTGTACACGTATACAGTGCCGTCTTATCTGTACAGTTATCGCTCGTCTAGTTTGCATATTACACGACTCCAGACGTGTACGTTTTCAGTGCTCCTTGGCCGGATGCGTGTGCAAACGTGGTCAAGAGTTTTGTTATTTGGCCCTTGTGTTTGGCTTTCCTAGGAAACTGTTGATAACAACAACAAGAGGAGCCACAGCAGCAACAACACATAGAATCTCGAGTCTTTCATGCCGTTGTGCTTTGTCTAGTCGCTGCTACGATCTAATAATCAAAACTGTTGCCTGCTGTTGCTTTTTCAGCAGCTTAGCGAGCGATTAGAGCACCGAATGACAATGCCAACGAGATTTAGAATGAGAAGTTGAATGAGAATGGCGTTGCCTGCAGGTTCACACCACGAAGTGCTATACAATAACCATTGATAACTAAGTATTTTTATATATATATATATATATATATATATCTACGTATATGTAGGTTGACACTCTTCCTAAGTGTATTTCAGCATTGTTAAAGACTTTGTAAAATTAATAGTTATAGAAATTGAGCTGTATAAACAACTAAATATTTTTTTTATTTAATTTATATATTTGTATTATAAGTATTTAAAGATGTTCTTATTTGTTAATAATATATAAGTTAATAATAATTATTATTTTTTCTTTGATTTATATTTTTTTTATTTAATTTTAATTGTTTGCTTTTATTTAATATTTAAGCAGTTGTTAGTTTAAATATATTTTGTATAGTTAATTTTGTAGATAGTTTTACTTTATTAAATTATACAATATATCTATAATAAATTATAATTTTTATAATTTAAATTAACAGAACTCTTGAACTTAAGGGAATTTGCTCTTCGGCTTACTCTGCACTCCTTCGGGTTACCCATGCCTCCAGCTTGTCAATTGTCGCTGTGGAGCTGTCTTTGTTGGAGCTAATGGCATTGTTGTCAACTTGTGTGTGTGTGTGTGTGTAACGCCTGTCAAAGTATTAAACTGTTACTAGACAATGGCAAGCCCCTTCCTAACCACCTCCGACTCGTTTGTCTATGCACATAATGGACATTTATGTCCGGGCGCTGGTGAAAATATTTCTTGTTCATAATTTTTCAACAATTTTCATTGAGCAAAGCGCGCAAAGTATTCTTGATTTGGAGTTTTGTTGGTTGGGAAAGCAGTTTCACACGGCTCGTGATGCAAATGCACTTGTCCCTCGACTCTGAGCCCGGTCTGCAGTTGGTTATAGCGATTCCAATATGATTTGAACGTTTTTCGTGTTTTTGGTTATTTGGGTCTTGGGTTGATTTGGTTATTTGGCTGTCTTATCTGAGATCAGTGTCGATCAAAGTGCGGCAGACGAATTGTGAAACATGACGTACATGATATTATGATATACGTAGCCTGGCAGCTTGAGTTCGACTCGGAGACTGTTTTAATAATTTTGACGTAATCACATCACAACAATCTGCCTTCAGAAACTTAGCTTTTTGTCTTTTGTGCTCTTTGCGTCTTGAGTCTGGAGTCCCGCTCAAGTGGACATTTTTTTGTTGGTTTTGTTTTCACCAAGATTTCTGATTTGTTCATTTAAATGAATTACAATATTTTATCTTTAAATGGAGATCGTTTTGGCATGACGCACAAGCATGAAGCTTTCCAAGAGTTGTTCAGGTAAGCCTCGCCAGAGAACTTTCCAACCAGCTGCGGTTTTTGGACGACCTTTTCGGTAATTCCAATGGTCATAAAAAAGCAGACGGCAAGCGGCAGCCGGCAGCCTGCAGCCTGCAGCCTGATCCTCGACGGCTGTGGCCGCTCTTTTTGTGCAGGTAAAGTGCGCAGTCGCCGTATAATTTTTACACCTTCGGCCAGACATGGTCGGAGCAGCTGCGGTGCACGTTTTTAATTCATTTGTTCTAAAACTTAATCAGACCGAAGTGCGAACTGCACACGGCTAACAACACTCCTCCAACACAACCTCTTGCGGCTCCTGCGTCGAGTAAGCAGCAAGACAAGAAGTCGTGATTGCGCAACTCATAACTCACAAGCCAGGCTCCAAGTTGAACTTGACTAGGGCTCGGAGCTGGGGGCAACAGGCAGCCAGGGTACGGCACTTCACACCGAATGGTGGCAAGTTTCTTATTCTTTTTCTGCTTGCTTTCGCTTACATTGTTTAATTAAAAACGATGCCGTTGCCACGTACTGAAGACCATGTCCACGCTGACGATGAGACCTCGACGCGAGCTGAGTAGTCTTGGCCTGCCCGCTTGCCCGCCTGCCTACTCGCTCGTGTAGAGTGGAGGCAGCCTCTCAGCCTCTCAGCCTCTCAAGTGGCTCAAAAGGACGACACGTTTTGGCTTCTGTGCAAAGCTGTTTGTTAGCTTGTGCAGTAGCAACTACTGCTGCTGCAGTCACAAGAGGCTGCAACTGTTGCAACTGCAACCACTTGCCACAATTACTGCTGAGGGCCGTAAGAGCTGACTACTGCTGCTTAATTTTAAAGTCTGCTGCCTGCGATTATATTGCTCTAGAAATTTACGAAAATGTATTTGGCGCTTGTTCCAATGAAGGGTGTTTTGGCTTTGTCATACGCTTTGCCAGATGCTAGCTTCACATACTCAACTCTTCTATTTAATATATATCCTGAATACCACATTGATCTCTGATCTTGATTCTTATTGATTGATTCAACTTGTAAAACCAATGAATGAATTTTATAAAGCTTTAGCTTAGGCAAAAATATTATTTTATAATAAACATATTATTAATAAGTTAAAGAAATATATTTAAGTAATTTATAATCAATAATAAAAATATTAAAAATAATTAGTAATTAATTAATTAAATATGAATAATAATAATAATGTAATGAATAATGAATAATGAACTTAAGCATTTAATATTTAATAGTAAAAATATTAAAAATAATTATAATATGAATAATAATAACATATTGAATAATTATTAATGAATAATGAATTTAGGCATTTAATATTTAATAATAAAACTTAAAAATAATTATATAAATAATACTAACATAAATAATATTAAATTGTCCAACTAATTGTCTACTTGCTTTAACTAACTTACAGTTTGCTTCATTATTATCTTTATTCATGCTATCAATATTGATTAGTTAATTGCGGTAAGTTAGCCTGACAAGTTAATTTTTATTTCCATATTCCCAAAATCTTAAAAACTTTCAAGATTTATTTTCATCTATGAAATATTATAAATGACATTTGTTTTTAAATGATAAAGTTGGTATACATTTGAACTAATAAAAGCATTCGCAATTGAGAGGCTAAAAGGTTTAATTATATTCGTATGTGTCATTCGATATAAAGTTATTGGTTAGCTTTTTGTTTGCTTCCATTTAAGGCGTAGTATTTGTAGAGTATTCTAGGCTGATGCCATTTTTTGGCTGATCTACTCAGCGCGTGTATTTATAATTCGCGAATCATGTTGCATTGTTCAGGGCAGGGGCGGCTGCCGCTGCTGTTGCCGTTTCTCTTGCTGTTGGTGATGATGAGGAGCTTCACTTTTATGGCCAGTCGCAATGATGGGGCACATTTTGGGACGTCGCTCTCGACGTTTCGCGTTCGGAATAAGATGAGGCTGTGGCTCTGGCAGTGGCTGACGCTCGGCTCCTGTATAGCTCGCCTTTAACAATGACAATTGTTAGCGCTCTGCGCCTGATTATTTTGACTTGATAACGAGCTAAACAATAAAAACAAGCGGCTGCCAAACAAACTCAAGTCAACTTTTGCCAAGTCATGTTTAGCAGAAGACGACGACGATGACGGCGAACAGGACTCTGTGGTCCGCTGTTTTGTAATCAATTTGAATGCAGCGTGAGTTTTGAATCTCGGAGAATCTCAATTTGAGTTTTGAGCTGTTTGTTGCTTATTTGTTGTGATTTCTTAAGTTGTTGCAATTATGTTCGGGGTGTTTGTCCATTTGTTTGGCCGATGTTTCGACCACAAAAGCGAAAACAAATAACATCTCTTAGATAAAAACAAATTTACATACACTTAATTATATTTATTTTGCTACTTTAATGCGTGTTGTTAAGGTCACTTTTGTTGTCAGCACTTTTCACGGCCCGTAAATTGGCCAAACAATACTCGACTAACTATCGCTACAAGACATTTGCCTGGCCCAACCCTCTGCCTGGAGCTGCTGATGATGCGTAACAAAATGTGGAGCGACTACCATTTGGCTACCAAATGCTTCCAGCTTCAGTCTAGGCCCGGCTTTTATGATCTCTTAGTCTTGCTCCATTGTTGGCCAGCGATTAGCATAAGAATGCAACCTGCGGCAGGTATCGGCTGGTAGCCTTTTCGTAGCTGCACCCATAACAAATGTTCCCCAGTCGTAAAACGGCGGAGTCAAAGAAAATGCAGCCAAGCACTTGATGTCTCGAAAACGTAGTCGCTCTATTGTTTACCAGATGATGATATAGAATTCATTTAAATGGGTTTTTATTGCAAATAGTTTTTTTGGTAGCAACTAAAAGCTGAGATAAAGCTTCTGAATTCCCAAAAAA